CAGGCCTAGAGAAGATGTTTCCATCAAGAAGGAGAAGAAGGAACGGGATCGAGACCGCCAACGCGATGGGCACGGCCGGGGTCGTGGCCGGCCCGAGGTGATCCAGTCCCACTCCATCTTCGAGCAGGGCCCTGCTGAAATGATGAAGAAAAAAGGTTAGGGGACATCTGGGGACCTTCTTGATGGGGTCTGGGGACCATCCTGCCTAGAGAAGATGTTTCCATCAAGAAGGAGAAGAAGGAACGGGATCGAGACCGCCAACGCGATGGGCACGGCCGGGGTCGTGGCCGGCCCGAGGTGATCCAGTCCCACTCCATCTTCGAGCAGGGCCCTGCTGAAATGATGAAGAAAAAAGGTTAGGGGACATCTGGGGACCTTCTTGATGGGGTCTGGGGACCATCCTGCCCAGCTGAGGGCTCACCCTGGGGTTGTTCCCCTCTCCCCAGCAGGTTCCTGGGACAAGACAGTGGATATGTCAGACTTTGGTCCTTCCCACATCATCAACATCAAGAAGGAGAAGAGGGAGACAGATGAGGAGACAAAGCAGATCCTGAGGATGCTACAGAAGGATGATGTGAGTGAGGATGGTGAGGGTGGCTTTGGTGCCACCAGGCTAGTGCTGATTGTCCCCTCTCCCATCCCTGCAGTTCCTGGATGACCCAGGGCTGAAGAATGACATCCGTAACAAGCCAGTGCAGCTGCCCCTGGCCCACTCGGGTTGGCTCTTCAAGGAGGAGGTGACAGAGCAGGAGGACACCCAGCCCTGGCTGCCTGGCCCCAAGGAGGAGAAGATGGAGCTGGACCCACCAGCAGTGAAAGGTGTGCTGGGGTCACTGGGACAAAGTTTTTAGCAGGACCTGTAGCAATGGGACAAGGAGAAGTGGTTTTCAACTAAAAGAAGGTGGATTTAGGCCAGATCTAAGGGGGAAATTTGTTACAATGAGGGTGGTGACGCTGGCCCAGGTTGCCCAGAGAGGTGGTAGATGCCTCATCCCTGGAGATGTTCAACGTCAGGTTGAACTGGGCTGTGAGCAACCTGGTCTGGTTGAAGATGTCCCTGTCACTGCAGGGGGGTGGACTAGAAATCATAGAATGTTGTGAGCTGGAAGTGACC